AAAAAAAAAAAAAAAAAAGAAAAGCTGTTCTGGCATTTCTTAAGAAATACATTTTTTATCATCCGTTACTCAAAGTTTTTTTTTTGAGATATATCCAAAACAGATGATGACACGAGAGAATTACTTCATTAATTTAAAACTTTTCATCCTGTGTATATTTATAAAACAGACGTGTAGGTTTTATCTATTATACCAAAATAACAGACTGCCAAAGTCGTGTTTCCTGATGAAGCAGTTTCTATTCAGTGTCCTTAGAGGTTATAAAATAACATTATTCTTAAGATTGTTATGCATTATACCTTAATTGGTAGGTGCACACTTATGTATATTATTGTCTGAACAGTTGCAAGATTGGCAGTGAAGACTAATTGGGTTTGACACCTAAAAAACAACACTAAAATCACGTCCTTAACTATATGAACTAGTTTTTATTCATACCTATTGTCATTTTGTATGCTTTATTTTTTGTGTGCATGGTCATTGAGGTAGATCTTTTTATAGCTAGGTTGTCAGTTATTTGTTTGTCATTAATTTCGCGCAGAGCTACTTAAGGGTTATTTGCCTTAGCCATCCCTAATTTTGAAGTGATAAACTAAAGAAAAGGCAGCTAGTCAACACCACCTATTGGGCTACTCTTTATCAATGAAAAGTGGGATTGACTGTTACATTATAACGCCCTCATGGCTGAAAAAGTAAGCAGTTTGGGGAAGTGTGATTTGAACCAGCGACCCTTAGATGGCGAGGCGAGTGTCCTAATAACTATCAGGCCATGCAAGGTCAGATCATCAGTCATTAATTACTTTTAGGTCTTTGATTAATGTTATTTATAGAGTCCATTGGGTCTTTTTTTGAACATTACATATTAGTCTCTACTAAACCTTTGTTGACTGTTACATGCTTATGTATAGTGGGCCTTTGTTGAATGTTAGTTATTGGTGTCTAATGGTTTTTTTAAATATTATTTATTAGTGTCTAATGGGCTTTTGTTGAATATAATTGATTATTATCTAGTAGGCTTTTATTGAATATCATTTATTAGTATCTAGTGGGCCTTTGTTGAATATTATTTTTAGTGTCTAGTGGACTTTTGTGGTATATCACTTATTAATGCCTAGTGGGCTTTTGTTGAATATCATTTACTAGTGTATAGTAAGCTTTTGTTGAATATCATTTATTAGTTCCTAGTGGGCTTTTATTGAATGCTACTTGGTAGTTCGTCTGTTCTCTAAATATTGTTATTTATCATTTCTAGTTGGTCTTTAGAGCATATTCTACTATTATGATTTCACACATATAGTTTAGCTAAAAACATTTAATATAAACATACATTGACTATGCATGGCTATGCAAGACTCACTTTTGCATCTAGCAAGGTAATGATAGACTAGGAATAGCCATAATTACACGTAAATATTTAATGCTATTTCGTAACAATGCATATTTATCAAACACAAATATTCTACTAGCCTCTATCACTTACAAATGTAGTGAGGTTAAAGTATGTTATAAACTGTGTTATTCAGAGCATAGCTCACATAGGATAAATTATCCACTAAAGAAACACAATCCATTTGGTTGATCCATTGAAGAAATGCATCTCGTTTGTTTTTGGCCACAATTGACTTCTCGTCAAGGATGTGTTCGATTCTCTAGGAACTTGTTGCACCAACGCCCACACATCTTAAAAATTCAAATGAAATTTCTAAATGTTTATTGGATTAAATTGTTAACCAAATAGCAGTTTTAAACCTTAATCATTCACATTATTTCTTTTGATTCAGTTACTACACACGACGATTATGCTTCTGTGATTATTACAGTGTTGTTGAGACATAATTTTTCTTTTTTCTTTCTTTTACATGACAAAATTCTAATAGCCTCACTTATCTAATATGGGCAGTGTAGTAATATGAAGCATTTGAGAAAACACAATTAAATGTTTAATGTTTTAAGCACTGGAATGTTTATTTTTAGGTTTAAATCGTATATATATAGATATAAACATTTTTATCCAGCATGTAGTAACAATCAACATAATAGTCAAAGGGGAAAAGAGAAACATATAGGAATGCAAGACAAATTTCCTCAGTAAGGCTTTTTTTTATCGATGACAAATCTTGTGTGCGAAAGGTATAAAATAAATCAGTTTAATTATGGAGAAAAATTACAAAATTATATGCCTAATGTAGAAACAGGAATATTATATAACTTATCTTGACCTAAACTGATTTTGACAAACAACTACCACTGAGATATAAGTAGATGCACTGAAGTCCTCTCTTATAATCGAACGTCCTAAGGTATAAGCAATTCGACAAAGTCCGAAACAATTTCAAATTAGATGATAACTAAATGGTATAATTAAAAGAGTTAGAATAATAATATTAATTAAATATCTAAGATAGAGACTTCTAATGCAAAGAAATATATTTTCTTTTTTAAATTTCCACAAGATAATCTTTAGGAAAATTTATCATTACCGTTGTCTAGACGTGGTTACTTTTCATAAAATAACATTTTTTATTGAAATGACAAACATATTTGCTTGTTTATGTTGTATATTGGTCATGCTGATCATATAATTAGCAAAAATCGTTACGTTACTCTACAGTTTCATTCATTGAATGACTGAGTAATTAAGTTTAATTCGAAAGACACTAATTAATTACAGTTATTAGAAACATGTTATTTAGCCCAAAATTAATATTTACAAGTACAATAATTCCTTTATCTCCGAAACACTTAAATGCTTGATTTATAGTTCAAAGTAATCAAAACCAGAGTGCTAAATCTAGTCGTAAAGTTAGATGGCTCCAAAATTTGTTTTGCTATGAACGAGTACAAAGGCATATAAAACTAATTTGGATAACATTCTCTACGATTGATCTAGTTTGGCTGATAAGAGTTGGTATAGTTCAAGACTGCAGACTCAGTAGATCATGGTATAGGACTTATTATTCAATACGATTAAATATATTATACAGGGTGAGCCAAAAGTAACTTGCCCCAAAGTATTAGAGTATAATATTTACAGATAATTTCATTTCCTGACAATGCTTAAAATTTCATTTACTAATCATTTTAACTTGTCTTGATCGTTGGTTTTCAACGTTTAACAGTTTAAAATAAATATTATTTCTAAGGATTTGGGGTAGTTACTTTTGCATCTTCATGTATATTTCGTTTGATAAAGCCTATTCAATGATTCAACAAGAGATATGTAATAAAGTATTCTATTTTTATAAATAATGTACAGGTCGAGAAGTATATGTAAAATAACCAGAAAGCAAAAAAGTATTTACAACAAGAGCAAATAGTATTTGCTCAAAGGCAAACTCATTTAACGCAGCAAAATAATTAATGTAGCAAGTATCCCTACAGGTGGTGCCATTAAATGCTGGGAATGTAATTCCCTCTACGATCCTAATTGCGCCGACCCTTTCGACAATTACACAGTGGCTCCTACTGACTGTGACCAACGCTTCCTTCCTCATTTCCCTAATATTTCTGCTACGTTATGCAGGAAGATCGTCCAGAAGGGTAAGTTTTAATCTAGTTCTATATTGTTACCATTTCAACGTCTTTAAAGATTTCTCTCTTTTGTTTTTTTTTCGATTCCAAGAAGCACCAGGATATTCTTTACTTTCATAAATGCTTGTCCTTTACAACTTCGATATATATTTTTTCCTTTTTGAGGAACGTGTTTTCAGTCAACATTCGTCCATTACATTGAACTATTAATTTCAAATTAAAATTGACGATATACATATGCCATTAAAAATGATGATCAAACATTAAATTAACTAGCACTTAGGTTTTAATTGGAAAGAAAAAGAATACAGTGTAGCATTTACGTTTTTGTTTTGTTTTTGTAAATAAATCAAAACAGTGTTTAGCAAGGCGTTTAAGTAGTACAAGCTTTAGTCGTAATGTTTCATTGAAAACAGTTATTCTTTTGTGTTTGATTTAAAATCAATTGCATTATTTATCGACTATAAGAAATTCCACAAGTAGTTATTAGTTTTCGGAGTCTGGTGTTCCCCCCCCCTTTTTTTTTTCCAATGGCTCAGTAGTAATACTGAAGTCTTATAACGCTACAAACCGCGGTTCCATAACTGTAGTGGGCACAGCATAGATGGCCCACTGCGTAGCTTTGCGCTTAGCAACAAACAAGTAACCAGATTGTGATATTTATTTTTTTAATGTTTATGCTATCATTTTTATATTTATTGCTACACGAAAAATTAACGTATATATATAAAAAAAAACAACTTCGAAATATGATATGAAACTTTTTTTTTCTTTTACATAAATAATTACTGGTCTTAGTCAGTGAAAAATCAAACTATTGGCTCATAATTCCTGCTAACCGAAAAAGTAAGAGAAAATTTCATTTTTAAAATAGGCGATAACTTCTTTTTTCACGATTTGCTTTTTTTTCAGTTAATAATGACTATCGGTACATTCGGAGTTGTGGATGGATACAGGCTGAAAAAAGACATGAAAGTAGCTGCTATAAAAAGGCTGGAACGTTCCAAGTGATGATCAATTACTGCAACTGTGAGACAGATCGATGTAACAGCGCCATCTGTACCACTTTCAGTTGGATTCCCCCAGGTGTTCTTTTTGTCGTTGCGTTTGCATTGCAGTTTACTGGTTTATTAACCATTTAAGTGTAGAACTTGAAAAAAGAATGATTTATTAATATCTCGTCTTCAAAGTTTAAAGTCACATGAGAACAAACATAGATCGGTTACTCAATAACTGACTAAAATAAACTCAGACCATATTGTAGAATAAGTAGAATTGATAATTATCAGATTAAACATTTTAAGATGACGTCAAACGTACACTCAATGTAAAACGTTAACAACTGATGATAAAATATAATAAAATGTTTTCTTTTGTTGAGTATAGAAAAACAACAACATAAATCTAAGTGTACTATTAGATTGGCAAATTACGTCGTAGTTTAGATTATATTTGGAAACTTCGAGCACTAATCTAGAAGTAAAATGTAACAAATTATCCAAGGTAGCATTTTGAGAAAATATTCTTATGTACATTGTTTTTTTTCTGGGGACACACAGATATTTAAAAATGTCTACTTTTTTAACAAATAATTTTGATTTGCATTGCACTTTGTTAAAAAAAGAAATTAGAACACGCATATTGTATTGCCATTGTTAAAGCTATATACTCTCTTCAACGTTACTATCAAAAATCATACTGGAGTAGAGTAAGGTTTTTCGTTAAAGATTATGTTGAAATTTCCCTCAAAATTATACTAATAAAAACTCCTGTTCATATTTGAATAAACACTTATTCAAATATACACCCTGTTACGTACACTATTTAAAACATTTTTCAATTATCTAATTGATTAAAACAATACCTCTTTCATAAAGCATACAAATTAAGTTATATGTATATTATTTTTCTGACATATTCCGTAAAGAATTTTGTCGCTTGCTTATATGTATATGTTTTTTCCTGTGTTCCATATTTTTCATGAAGATATTTTTCTTGGATAAAACGTCTTAATGAACCATTCTAAATATAAGCTCGGAGAAATCAAATTCCTAAAAATAATTTTTGAAAACAGAATGGTCAATATGAGACTACACGATATAAGATAAATCAGGTTAACATTCTGTTTAGATACAGCAATAATAATATTGTAATGTAAAAATCACGAACATTGTCATAACCGTTGTTATTCGTTCTACATTATTTTTTTTTCGCTACACCGCTAATGCTTCTCTAAGAGTGTAGCTATTACTGCATCTGTGATCCAGTTACTGATCAGGTTCTCGTGGCTTTGGACCTACCTTCTGAAGACTTCTACCATTATTGTAGTAGAGTATGTTCAACAACTAAGTGGTTTGTTACAACTTCATGGACTGTTACGATTTTAATGTTTAACATGAAGTTGTTACGATCACTTAGTGATAGTGCGAAAATCACGTCAAAATAATATTTCTTCTCTATTAATACCATTATGCCTCACTGCCTTAGGCTAAGTTGTTTGAATTAAAACTAAAACATTTGAATAGTGTAGAAGCTATATACTGTGGAATTCTTGAAGGTAGATTATAGAATTTTATATTTGAAACGTATATATTAACCTAAAATAGTGATTTAAAACGTAATAACTTGTTTTATTGAAATTAATCAGTTATTATTGGTACAAATTGGAAGTTTAACATTTATTTATTTTTTTCCTATTAAAAAATATTAAGGAATAAATCTCGTTTAAACTATAACAGAATTGATAAAATTTATCCTAGGATAGTAGTTCATTTCAGATTTCTAAACCCCTACCCATTGATACTGGTGAAAGTGAAATCTGACGTTAAAATTAGTATATTTTATTATGAAAAAACTTGTGTTACTTTATTTGTTATAATAATTTACCGAAATCATTAATTTAATCGCACTAGTTTATGAAAAAAAACTAGTTTGTTAGAAATCCAATACTTTACTAATTATAATCTTTTTTCTTCTTAGCATGTTACCCTGAAAGGGTAAATCGAACCTGTTCAATGAAACTAACTTGTACTTATTTTTAAACTATTGATTCATACTAGTTTTTTTTTTACTTTTAATGTTTAGTGATTTACTAGAAAATAAACTTTTTTATTTTACCAGGTAAGAACAATTGAACAAACAAAATAACTAGACTGATAGTACTGTTGGTGTTGACCTACTAATCTGTCAGAGTAGACAACATATTCTGATTATTAAACATTAGGAAAAAGACAATATTTGAAGGGCCCAATTTTCATAGATATTAATGCATACAGTTTTTCCAAAAATATTTATGAAAATAAATCAATGATGAAAAGTTAGCTTAGGAAATGCTGGTGCAATCTAATCAGGTTTTTTGATGTATGTACTGTTACAAACCATTTTCAGAGACAGATACGAGGTGGATTTCTGTATGCATTACTTTCGATTGCTGAGTAGTTGATATCAAAAAACTTTTTTTTTCTCGACACGGATGCAAAATCAATAAAGTATCTGAAAAATAGCTTTAGTGAAGAAACAATTATTTTATTTTAATCTGGAAATGAAACATCGTCTCGTGTATTTTTTCCTTCAGTCTTAAACAAAGTCTGTATGATAAATTTATTGGCTGATCTAAAAACTAAAAAAAAAGTTTGTAATTTTCATAGACATTAATGTATAAAAGTATCCAAGTACAAATATTATGCACTGATTATGTTGAGACAATTGTTACTTGCAACAACAAATCCGAATACTTTGCTGTTTTTAAAGCACTTCAAAATATGCAGAGGAAAATTATTAATGGGTTATTTGTCTTTGTATGTATACAGTATTGGAAATGATTATCGTAAAAGTAAATACAATTGGTATGAAATGTAAATATTAGGGTTTGCTTTATCACTATTATATGAAATGAACTGCACTAGAATGCAGACACGTGTTGACAATTTACAATGTGATTGGCCGCCATTCAAATAATCAGACAGTGCCTCACCAGGATAATGTCTGTAAAAAATATAGGTAGTCACAATATTTCCAGCAGCATATACCAAAAAAAAAAGAAAAAAGAAAAAGAAGTGTAGAAATCAAAGTTTTGACTATTCTAATTGAGTCGAAATTTCATATATCAGTAGGAGCTCTATGGTAACTATGAAGAAAACACTTGGAAATACTACTGTTGATAATAAAAGCAGTCAAAACAATGGTGTTAAGTAAACTCAGGGTTTTGATATTTACGTGATACACGACAGTTTAGTATGTATCTTATCAATGACCTAGCTGTAAGTACAAGTGTGAAAGCTGCCCTCAGAGCAGTAAGATACACATTAGCACGAGATGTCCTTATTGGATGTAGCTGCTTAAAAACTACTGTTTAGGAGAGATATCCAAACCAAAAGGCTGGAATGAGCACCAGACTTTAAACAAATTGGTGGCATCCTGACTGCTAATAACTTCAACCACCAGATTCTTATCCATCATGTCATTTGTTATTTCCTCAGGAACAAGACTTGTTGGTTTGGGATTCATCTTCTAGCAGACCAGTGATCCTAAACAGGCAACAAACATGGTGAAATGATACCTGGATTGTAAGAGAAACCAATGGAACACTCGCAACCATAGACTGGCCTGTACAAAGCCCCAATATGAATATTATTAAGGATATATTGGCTTATATGGTAACTTAGAAGTTCAAACGGCAATCAAACAAATTTTTGAATTGTGAGGAGTATGTATGTGGTTATCTTAATCCTTTTATTTTAGTACATGAAATACAGTTTACTTTGGAAAATTATATTCTAGTCTCATGGAGAAATCTTTGAATTCTGTAAATCGCAAAACACATGGAAATGATGCGTCACTCTGCTTTCAGAAGAAATAACGTAATTTGTTGTGCAAAAACTAAGTAACTGACTATCTTGTGTTATGCATAAATGTAATGTGCAATACTTGGATAAAAAATTATGACGTATATATTTAGCACAAAATCGTTAGGTATCCATTTCCTATGTTTCACCTTTACTAGTCCAGTGTACTAAGGATACATTTTACGTAAATTCACAAGAACCTATGAAGGATTACACGTGGAGCAAGGGGGAGTAGTTGCCTCCCTTTTTCTTTTGCTGTTGGATACAGTGTACAAGCGACGTTCACAATAATTAAGTGAGACTTTTTTGCCAACCCGCCATAAAAAGTTTGGTCCCAAATCCCGCCCATGCATAAGGATCCATTCAAAACAGTTGACAACCTGGAATTTTAGTTTTCTACATAGTAAATGCCAAAAACGTATAGCATACCAAACTCATTCAGAGTTCTATATCTCGTGAAACTTTGTGTGAGGAGAACTTATTTTGTTTCGTTTTATTATCTATCAATATCTCTTCAAACAAACGCCCCCCAGTGGCACTGCGGTATGTCTGCGGACTTACAACGTTAGAAACTGGGTTTCGATACCTGTGGTGGGAAGAGAACATATAGCCCATTGTGTAGCTTTGTGCATACCTACAAACAACAACAACTTCTAACAAACCAGTTTGTTACGCAGAATTCGAATATGTGTACGTAATTTTATGTTAGTTTCTAAGCATTTGAAAACGGAAATAGAAAGGGAATATATGTAATATAAAAATTTAAAATGCTTAAGGAACCATTGATAAGGATGACATTGCGATATATCGGTTCCATATACTAAATGGCCCGGCATGACCAGGTGGTTATCTCACTCGACTCGCAATCTGAGGGTCGCGGGTTCGAGTCCCCGTTCCATCAAACATGTTTGCCCTTTCAACCGTAGGGGCGTTATAATGTGACGGTCAATCCCACTATTCGTTGGTAAAAGAGTAGCCCAAGAGTTGGCGGTGGGTGGTGATGACTAGCTGCCTTCCCTCTACTCTTACACTGCTAAATTAGAAAACACAAACCATAGACTAAACTAATGCGTCCCAAACTTTTTCAGCTCGCGGCACACTTTTAATGTCCAAACTCTTTGCGGCACATGTAAATAAGTCCGTATGGCAGGACTGTTGGCACCCCCACCCCCGACTAAGACAGGCAGAAATTACTGTTATACTGTGTAATAAGGAGAAAATGAATCAAATTTTAAATATTAAAATGTATTAAATTTACATTACTAAATAAAATTACTTAATAATTGCAAAAATTCCGCGGCACACCTGAGACCCTTCCAATGTCCATGGCATACAGTTTGGGAAGCTTGGTTTAATTTGAATTTCGCGCAAAGCTACACAGGTCTATCTGTGCTAGCCGTCCCCAATTTAACAGTGATAGACTAGAGGGAATACAGCTAGTCAGCATCGCCCACAGCCAACTGTTTAGATACTCTTTTATCAACGAATAGTGGGATTCACCGTCACATTATAACGCCCCCGGCTGAAAGGGCGAGCATATTTGGTGGGACGGGGATTCGAACCCGCGGACCTCAGATTGCGAGTAGAGGGCCCTAACCAACTGGCCATGCCAGGGCAATTTGGGAGGCACTGCAATAAACTAACCTACAACATAGTATACGAGCACATCTTTAGTCATTCAGTTTCTCGACTAAACTAACCCGAGTAGGACCTAATATGTGAGCACATCTTTAGTTATTCAGTTTCTCGACTAAACTAACCTATAACTGTAGCATAATATATGAGCACATCTTTAGTTATTCAGTTTCTCGACTAAACTAACCTATAACTATAGCATAATATGTGAGCACATCTTTAGTTATTCAGTTTCTCGACTAAACTAACCTATAACTGTAGCATAATATATGAGCACATCTTTAATCATTCAGTTTCTCGACTAAACTAACCTGAGTATGACCTAGTATGTGAGCACATCTTTAGTTATTCAGTTTCTCGACTAAACTAACCTATAACTATAGCATAATATGTGAGCACATCTTTAATCATTCAGTTTCTCGACTAAACTAACCTGAGTATGACCTAGTATGTGAGCACATCTTTAGTTATTCATTTTTTTGACTAAATTAACCTATAACATAATATATGAGCACATCTTTAGTTATTCAGGTTCTCCACTAAACTAACCTATAACTATAGCATAATATATGAGCACATCGTTAGTCATTTAGTTTCTCAGCATTTTAGAACAGGTTTCTTTACTTCGCTGTATCAGATGTACCTAGCTTTGAAGTGTACTTAACACTCACACATATTCTAAAGCTTGACTCAGTACTCACTCAATATTGTGATAAGCTTTACAGTGAAATATTTCTAACTACTTAAAACTGCCCTTAGGAATGGGCCATCTTCTGGTAGTGTATGATTAACAAGAATTACAAATTCAAACTGTAACTGCTATTCTTGGCAGTGCACGTGTTGAGTTATAAGTATTTTACATAGGTGGCAATAATTTCTTGCAATAAATATACAAATAAAAAAAGCCATGAAAACAAAATATTTAGAATGAAGTTGTATGGTATATAAATAGCAGCAAAAGATATGAGTCCCGAAATATTTATTCAAAAAATGTTTTAATTTTTTGATCAATATAGCTTTTACTTTTCTTCGGTTTATATCAGTTTCACGTTGTGGGATTTTAATGTTGTTTTCACATAAGGTGTGTTCGGTTTCTTTTAAATATTTGAAAACATAGGAAGGTCCTTTAAAGTTTTCTTTGATTCTGGCGTTCGTTTGTCTTTCAATTTCACTTAAATAAAATCGTTCACAAGTGTCGCATTTTATTTCATACAATATTCCTTTGGTGTTCCTTTGTTTGGGATAATTTCTTCTAAAAACGTTTTTTACTTTTATTTCTGGTTTTTGTATGATAAACGAGTTCATGTCAATGTTGTAATTTTTTATGAGGCGTTTCCGTATTCTGGCAAGGTTGTCGCTGACATATTAATAAAAGAGATAGTAGTTGTGATAAAGTTTTGCTTCTTGTCTCTTGGTTTCTTGTTAGTTTGAATATCTCGTAACTTCTTTATTTTAGTTTCACTAGCGTTTTTGGACATTTTGTAGGGATAACAATTTTAATGAACGAAAACCTCATATATTCTCCTTTATTCACTTTTTACATTGTTAAGGGTACATAGGTCAAGTGCATTTTGAATTATAAATTTAAGGGTCTAGGATCCCCCTGAGTATTGGGTATTAAGAGACGAAAATCTTCCTGGTGATTAGATATAATTTTGTGATCAGCTTCACAGTGAAATTTTTTTAAGTAATTAAAATTCCGGTGAATTTTTACCTATACCAACAACATCCACTTCACCAATGAGGTTGAAAAAACGTCTCTGTCAATTTTATAATATTAACGTTATTAGGGAATTAACTAGATTTGACTCTTGTTTTTATAGGAAACCAACGCATTCAGAACTATATGTAGAAAAGAAATCCTCACACCATACACAACTAAAACTTCGTCTCTTAATACCCAATACTCTTATTTTAACAACTGGCTAATTTGATGGACAATTCTTTGAGCCTACAAATCTTATCGTAACACCCGTTATTGTGGCCTAATAACTTATCTATCGTTTTTAAGTACACCTTAGGATGTTATAGCATGGTGAGACTTTCTTAACCTTCTTCATCTGTAGTCATGTTCAAGGAATACTACTCATTTCCGTATATTTTTGTATAAAGTTACTTGATAGATCCAACATGCTAGTTTACTTACGTTTTTCTCTTGTTTCCTATGGATGATTTCGTTCATTAACAAACAACTATTTACAAATGGCGGAAAGTGTAAATGCTCAAAATAAAAGCGTTTCTAACGAGAAGCTCAATTAATTTAATTATTGCTGTTATCCTTTTAATAGACTAAATATTACAACAATAGAATTGGAGTAACCTAGGCTCTCATATGCAGGTTGGTGTGAGTGGGGTCGAACTCCCTAGATGGTGCTCAGGGTATTGAAACTTAAGCAATATCCAACAATTGGAATTGATGCGAGTACCTGTAACTTGAGTTATAAACAACGCTTCCTTTGTTTATTGTCGGAACACAAGTTTAGTTTTGAGCATGTTCAGGTAACTTGGCTATTATTGTTAATAATCTGTTTATTAGGGTAGCTCATTACAGAAGTTTATTAACTGCATATATTGGTTTATGAATGCCTATTTTTATTTCATTGATTAATGCATGCTAGTATGTTTATTTCGTAGATGATAAAGACTATGTTGCTTTCTCTCCATTGTGAATCTTTACTGTTCTTACCAATTTAATTTGTTTTCTAATCTTCTTTTTGGCCTGGTCGGTAAACTGATTTACTGCACCAGCTCCTTAAGGGGATTGTTTCTTTGTTTGTTGGTAGTTAAGCACAAAGCTATAAAATTGGCTGTCTTTGTTCTGCCCAACATGGGTATCAAACGTCGTTTTTTATCGTTATAAATCCGCATACTTGCTATTTGGAGGTTTAAGAGGAAGAGATTCCACATAGGAAGTAAGTATCCATGCAAGGTATGGTCTTTTTTTTTCTACATATCTTGCTCTAATCTTCTATTAATGACATAATGTAAACTATTATTTTCGATCACATAAATGTGTATTTTCAACACAAAACATGATTGATCTGCGTATCAGCCTCTATGAGATGAGACATTTGCCACAATTTTACACAATTTTTTTTATACGTTTTTGAATCACAATATATATGTATATACGGAGGTTATTGTTTACTGTTGTGGTTTTTACCACTGAATATATTTATAAGTTTACAAATTTTCGAACAAATATTCGGAATATGTGCTTATTAAATTCAAATTCATATCATATTCTCAGCATTTTTAAGAGTCTTCTCTTAAAAGAAATGAAATAATGCTTTGGTGTGTTGTCTGGTATTATCTTGTTTAATGTTTAACGATTACTCAAAAATCAAATCTCCGTTAATTTCGTATTCCATGCGTGAATTATTCGTCACAATCGAGAAAACATTAAGATAAAAACAGTCATAAACATGTATTCAAACTAACTTTAGAACAAGACGAGCTATTGTCGTCACTAGCAATTAAAAAATATGTAAAATGTTCTTGAATAATGATTTCAGATATAGTTCGATAACTATAAATATAGACTTTTGAAACATTGCTATTCTGTCTTGGTAGTTATAAGAAAGTTAGTTTCATTTTTTTTTATATTTAGTTTGATGTTATTCGACACACTGTGTACATTGAGACTGCCTAAAAGCCCTGCTATATATAATGAGACACTATACTGACCTACATGTACTAGACATTAATATACACATATACCTGTTAAAACTGTAAAATACTATTGTAAAATGCTCAGCCCCTAAAGTTATAAATTAGGTAAAAAGTCCTAAAAACATATCATTTATAACGTGAAATTAGATACCGTTTAGTTTTTAAAAATTATTATATAAAAATAAAAAGGATCCATGTCAAAAGGTGGCGCTATAGGTTCGACAAAAAGTCCCAAGGTGATCAACTTTGGCGAGAATCCTTACACCCTGGATTATTTAAAATTGTAACATAAAATTTTAGTACATTTATCTCAGTGATCAAATAAAAGTATCAGGTAAAATTATTTTTCTGGCTGTTTCTAAGTAATTTTGGTGAATTTTGGCTATTATTTTTTTTTACTAATGCGTGAGACTAGTCCCAGATGCGTGAGTATTGGTAGCTCTGATGTTATTATTATGTACTTAATTTACAACATTTACATTATCTAACGAATTTATCAAAAGGTAAGAAATCCTCTAACGTATTATTTGGGCAAATTTTACCATTTGTTTATGTTTAAGCTATAATTATGTCTAAAATATTTGTACTAAACAATCGGCAAAATCAAAGCACAAAAAGCATTTGACACCCATATTTTGTAACTTAGACAAAATATAACCTTGCGACATCTATCTAGTTCTTACTGAAAACTCAATGAAAATCTTGTGCATTGAATGTGTATTTCCCGAGGGCTAATCCGAATTATCCAGTTACTATATTCCGCAAATCTCCGACTGCAAATCGATTGTAGTGGGACAGAGGGCGCCGAGTTATTCGAAGCAATGACTAATTGAATAGAAATACCAACAAAGACTGATCAGTGGCGTAGCCAGGTTTCCACTCAGGGGGGAGGGGGGCAATAAATTCAAAAAAGCTGAAATTGATCTAAATTTTTAATAAAATGGTCATTAAAACAAATCAATTCCAATGTAATAGTGTTTATAGAAGTTTTATTTTTTATTAAAGGATACAAAACGAGTTTATTATATATATAAAAGCTGAAAAATAATGTGATCAATATGCCTAGATTTTTCAGGGGGCCGGATCCCCTTCCCCCCGACTACGACGCTGAGACTTATTGAGGAAACTGAGAAAGAATTCGATCTATACCATTTTCAGTGTAGTTCCTATTTAGATGCTCTTTATTTCGTCATGCTTGCATTTCAGTGTACATATTTATTAACACATTTTATACAGAACTGCTAAACACGCATTATTACATTTCAATGATGATACACAGGATTAAACGAATAAGATTAGTTATTGTTGATCTTAGCATTGTGCAAGAGTAAACAACACGTTGTATTACCATAATTTATGAAGGAAGTACTTTAATACCAGCTGAACATTTCTTAAAAGTGCAATTATAAAATATATCATTGTAAATAATTGTTTTACACTATTTTACAAAATATTTAATAAAGTAACTAGTTATTTCGACCATTGTAAAATGACGTAACTTAATGAGGTTTTTGACGTATTTTTGTAAAACGTTTGCAGAAACGGAAAACAAAGTGAACCTTTGTAAGTACCACTTTCAATTGTTTGACAGTTAGAGCTCTTGGAGAGGATGCAAAATAAGAGTGAGACCATCTTAAAACTGTTTTCATTTAAAAATCAAGCGTTTTAAAATAAAAATCACACCCCCAGCTAGAAATCATTCAGATAATATGAAAATATTTCTTTTCTTTTCTTCAGAAAAAATTTGCCTATGGACTAAAGTAAGAAGTAGTTAAATAAAATGACTCAGTAATCTTCGTTGCAAATGTTGTCTGATGAATTTGTTCACTAACCTAAAATTAAAAAGAGCCACAAATTACATGTCAAATTAATGTTTAAGATAATCTAATTTTTTATACTATTCTCATACTAAGAGACTTCAAGGTGTACACTTTGTTCTTCTGCAATCACAAAATAAAAACAGAAAATTAGAGAGAAAAAAACCGTGTTTTGGAAGTACACTATCAGCCTTTTGGAAATTTTCAGGACCAAATACATAAACGTTTCAGTTGTACTTATAACTCTGAGTTGAACCTCTTCCGTAACCTGTGGACAGAAAACATGTAAAATACTCCATAAAATGTATGTACGTATCGAAACATTTCGGTAAACATTGTTAGCTCTTATTACCATTAACTCGGATATTAACATGAGATTACTCTGAACTATCCATCAAATTCAACAGTGTTTTAAGTTAACCTCATGAAGTAAGAAGAACATTACAAAGCTAATCGTAGGGAAAATTATAAGCACTGACACTAGAAAGAAATGAATAACAATTATTTTCACTTGTTAACTCTAATGAATTTATATATTCACGTTCGTACTTCACTTCTTGATCTTTCTTTAGGACCAGATGCCTTAAAAAGTTAAAACAAACTAACTTAAGTTTTTCACATATATGGTAGCTAAACCACTATGATAAAACTTGGGAACACTAAATTTAAAAAACGAGCTTTGAATTTTCATAACTTATGAACTATGATTTTTCATCACTGTTAAAATATTTATTTTATAAAATGCCAGCAGATGGCAGAAGATACATTAAATTCTGAGGATGTTTATATTTATTACATGGCTTGGTGGTTAGGGCACTCTATCCGCAATCTGTAGATCGTGGGTTCGAATCCCCATCATCGAACACGTGGGGGTGTTATAACGTGATGGTCAATCTCACTATTCGTTGGTAAACGTGTAGCCCAAGAGTTGGCGGTGGATGGTGGTGACTAGCTGCCTTCCCTCTAGTTTTTCATTGCTAAATTAGGGACGGCTAGAGCAGATAGCCCTCGAGTAGCTTTGCGCGAAATTCTAAAGAAACCAACAAGTTGCAAGCCTCTTTCTTGCAGTCTATGTGATCTACATCTATATAATTAAAACACGTGAGAAACAACTAAAAACCAATGAAGTTAAACAATAAACGAAAATACGAAACTCGGATTTTCCCCGATTTCCTTTAATGTCAGGTAGTGGTAAGTATTAAAGCAAGGCGTTTCGTATTAATTTATCTATGGAACAGGGCGTATTGTGCTATCTGATCTACGCCTGTATTTACTTTTTTATATTTTATACGTGTTGAGTGCTAATTCGGGTTTCTTTAAGAAGAACCAAGATACAACATACGACTTCCATTTTGTAGCTTTTGCAATGTTTTATTGTCTTCTCCAAACTACTATTCTTAAAAGTATGCATAATTACCTACAATATCTTATACAGTACAACAAAAATACTTGCTATAAATGTTTAATGTATTGAATACAAAAAACTGTTTATGTTAGATATTTGAGTTAAGTGTCAACCAGTAACGTATTTCTTATTCTTAACCTAATAAACAAAATCTATAAAAATATGCTCAGCATTTTTTTCTATTTCTATGTTAATAATAAAATAATGATAATAATTACCTCCTGGTCCAAAGAGAGCGCTGTAACAAGGATTACTGCAATAAGGCTTTCCTTCGTGCTGTAAAATAGTTGAGAAAAGAAAGTTACATTAGTACATTTTCAAAGGGGTTACTATGTTTGTAAACAATGCTAGATGTAGTACACGAACATATATTAGATACGACTATACAATCAACAACACGAAGTGAAAAGTATGAAATATAAGCAATTAATTAAAACACCTCATTATAAAACTAAACACAAATCAATTAACAGTTAAGAGACTGTTGTAAAACCAACATAAGTAGAAACAAACAGTACTAGTGGTGAAAAATAACAAGAGTTCTTTATATTAGATAATAATATTGAATATTAATAAGTAACTACAAAACTCTTGTAGCAGTTATAACTTATTTATTTAGCCTTTCGCACATATTCTTTGAGAAAGTGACCAAACAGTGAATCTTAGTCGAACAAAAAATTCTTCTTGTTGCCACACCTGGAAGATAAGGTGTTCTTGTAGTTTTCTTACAGTGTAAGAAAATTAACCTAGTGTTAAATGGAATATCTGTTGAAAATCGATTTATACGAAAACATTTAAAATTAACTTAAACAATTTTACAGTTACTCTCCCAGGAAATTTTACGATTAAAGGACGTACTAAAATGTCATTTACTTATTTTTCACTAAAATCAGGTTTTACTTTAATAGTTTAAAGCAGATCTCGCATAAAATGCTAACTCTTGCATTTCGAAGTTTCTCGGTTTTTAGGACATGTTTTATAAACAACACAAAACGGGACATTTCTAATGTATGATTTTGACACCTAATATTGGTAGAAAATTGAAGAATAGCTTAAACAATCGCCAATTTTTGTTATTTTTATATTATTATTTGAAGAGGATGACGTTTCGAGCTATTATCTTCGTCAGGTCGTACAGCTTACAACAAAAGGCGCATGCGCATAATATAAAAATTGAGTGCGTAGCATTTTCAACGTTGAGAAAGAGGTCGACGCGAAACCTGACCCTCCCTGGTACAAAACAAGGACCAAACGTCGATGACGATGATAATGATGAACGGTGAGAGGGAGGAAATGGTTAAAGCTGAATCCCGATGAAGAGGAAGAACGTGGAGCGTGAAATTTCTTTGCAAATTAATATCTTATACATAAATATTATAAGTGAGGAAAACATAAAACACATTAAAACGGAAACAAAAATGGAAAAATGAGAATCTATTGAAAAGCAAAACGTTCATTTAAACCAGATGGTTGTAGGCTCCCCAGACTGTAGATTAATCTCCTTTCCAGTCTTTCACTTTTGTGAATGTATGTTGGAACGCCAATAAGACCAAGAATCGAAAAGTCCTCAATTGTATGTTCGTTGATGGTGAAACGTTTGCCTATAATTGTATCTTGGTTCCTCATTTTCATTTGGTTTAGACGTTCTCGTGCTCGATCGCCGAGTCGGCGGCCTGTTTGTACAATGTATAAACTATTGATTTTTTGCAAATTATGCAGTAAATGATACATTCAGCGGTACATGTAAAGGATTGTCTTATGTTAAAAGTTGTGTTTTATTCTCGTATATGTGTGGTGCTGTTTATATGTGGACAGGTAACACACCTATTTCGTTTACATGTGTGAGTGCCTGAGGTATCATTTTGTTTTATTTTAAAGTTACTGTGCACCAGGATTTCTTTTAAGTTTTTGTCATGCCTGTAAGAAATAATTGGGGGAGGGGTCTTTGAAAAGAGTTTCGGATACGTTATTGCACCTGGATTGGTTTCGGTCAGTTTCGATGTTTAGGGAGTCTATTTCTCTATGGTTCCCTGTTCGATATATCATTTTCTATTCTTAACATGCGCCCTGTTCTCGAGTCGGGGGGGGGCGAGATCCCCCCGCTTTTGAACTTGAAATGAAGACTGCATGATCCTCTTCCTACCCCCGCGTGGATGTCGGTTCCCAACGGTATGGGTTTTAGATGTAGTTGACTTGCCGAGTAGGATCTGTCGTGCCCTAGCCACTCTACACCTGGATTTGCTCCTCTGTCTTCTGCACAAATATACGACACTTTTCTCAGATGGGCGAATAGTATACCTGACTCAGAAGTAGTGCGGTCTCCCACATCAGATCTTCGAATCTGACTCTCTAGTCTCAAGGTATGTTCTTCTGATGTTTTTGAAGGATGCTGCTTTTCTTCCCTCGCACCAATCCCCTCCACCTATTCAATGTGGGATTCTAGCTAATTATGTGAGAGGAGGTAATGTACCGTCTCGGAAGTTATAGTTTTCCTATACTGAAAATGTATTTCCGGTAGGTACTTCCCTCCTCTCAAACTTCCCACCCTTCCTCCCAACTGAAAACCAGTGCTTCCATTTTCTACCAAAACTCGAAATGATAATTTGGTAGAATTGAATAGAGGGAGTCACATTCGTAACGAGACTGTGTGGTATTATCATTGGTGGAGGGTTGTGCATGATGATTTGTATGAAAGACACATTGGAATGAGTCATTTCCTATGGAGGGGAGGCAAAAGTATTGTGGCATGCATAAAACATTTTTTTTTTTGCATTTTGAGAGAAGCACTAAACGAGAATAGCTAATTATGTGAGAGGAGGTAAGTATCTATCAGAAATACATTTTCAGTATAGGACAATTATAACTTTAGTTGTAGGATCTTCAGTAAGTATTGTGTGATTGTTTAGTATGATAACTTTGATCCTGTTGGTCTGATGGTATGTTAGCACAAGTGGAATACCACGGTAGTGATTGCATGCATGCCAAAATTAAATTTAGAAACCTTTCTTTAGAATTTACTTGGGAAATATTCGGCTCAAGACTCCCCTTTTTGACATTAACATATACATATCAGACGACCATCTGACCACTAGTATTCGTTACAAAGAAACACATTCACACACGTACCTACATTCCGAATCTTCCCACCCATTCAGCAACAAAAAGTCAATACCTTACTCACAATTTCTACGATTACGCAAGTTACGTAGTGATGATAATGATTATAAATCAAAACCCAAAGACAAGAAAACTTTCTTTTTTAAAAGACACTACCCTGATTCTATTATCGACGATGCAGTTACCAAAGCTAGCTCATATACCCAGGAGCAAACACTTAACCCGACCAAGAAAAAACACACAGACCGTATTCCACTTGGGCTAACATACCATCAGATCAACAAGAAGATCAAAGGTATCACACTAAATAATCACACAATACTTACTGAATACCCTACCACTAAATCTCTTTTCAAGAACCCACCCCCATTATTTCTTACAGATACAAAAACCTAAAAGAAATCCTGGTGCACACTAACCTTAAACTAAAACAAAATGATACCTCAGGCACTCACACAAGTAAACGGAACAGGTGTGTTAACTTTTCACATATAAACAGCACCACACATATACGAGGATACAACGCGACTTTTAACACAAGACAATCCTTTACATGTACCACTGAATATATTGTTACGTCT